CCCACGCGCTGAGGTGCCGAGCCGCTCACAAATGGAGGGGCGGCGGCGGCGGCGGCGCACGCGGGCGATGTTTGGCTGTGTTCACGTGCTGATTTACTGATGGTGACCGGGCGACGGCTTAGCTGGCGATTTTTTGCGTCAGTGTCGAGCGGCGATGAAGTTGGTCGAAGGGATCGAAACGTAGCAGTGATAGTGCCAGTTGTGCACTAAGTGCTGTTGAATCAGCACATGGGGTTCATATGGTGTCATGGGAGATACTTGTTTCGGGTGAAGGCTCCATCTCCATGAGTTTTTTTCAGCTCCTCAACGGTACAGATTATTTTCCAGGTCCGCTTATGCAGCATGTTTGACGTGGACTACAGCGGCATCTGCATAAACAGAGGCTGTTGTCTCGCCATCACCTGGCTACGGAAGTGGTTTCCCAAATGCGGAGCACACTACCTGCCGGCATGAAGCCAGATGGCGCTGCCCACCGCCTGTTCTGTCCGCAGCATGCTGGCAAAGCTAACATGGGTGCCCATGACGATAGCTTAGTGCGTTTGTCGGGGACATACGGCCGTTTCATTGGTACCGGAGGGTAATTCACCCAGTGACGCACGTGATATTGGTGATGTTCGCGACCCGTGTGTATGCCCTCGAGCTATGAAGGCTTTAGAACAGCGGACATCGGCAGAAACATTCTGGAATTCGGGGATCTGGCGGTCGGCAATGATTGCGTTGATGTTTATTTCATTAAGATCTAGATATGTAATGCTACATTCATGCGTGTGCTTAGTTTCGTACGCCGGCACATATTTCAATGTTGTATTCCATACGCCGACGCAAATAAGAGGTCGCTAATGTCAATGAATGAAAGAGTTGTACAAGGATGATGTTCACACCTCCTGCAACATTAACTACGGCCACACGCGCATATGTAATACAAAGATACGTCCTTACAACTCTTTGTAGTAGATGGATGCGTCCATGCCAGTTTTTTCCATTGAACCTTGCAAATTCCCATATCATATTATGTGCACGCTAGAAAGATTTTCCCCGTCACAGCCCAGTTTAAAAGGTACACATTCCTCAATCACGTCCGTTCACATTTGTGTTGATTCATGCATGCATGCACTTCAGCTTCGGGGGTGCCGGTAGTGTAGTGGTTAACACGCCTGCGTTAACCACTGCGCGTCTGGGAAACCAGAGGTACGGGGTTCGATTCCCCGCGGTGTCTGCCCTTCCTGCCATGGTGAGAGACAGGCGACGCCATATAGCCTCAGCAGGTGAGTGCGTCGTAAAGCCCCAATCACACACACACACACACACACACACACACACACACACACACACACACACACACACACACACACACACACACACACACACACACACACACACACACACACACACACACACACTTCAGCTTCATGGCTCGGCTTCCTGTTTCCTGACGGTGCGTTAAGTGTATAACTATTCCATACGCTGGAGCTTTGGTGTCTGCCTAGTGTTCAAATGCGAGGTTGAGTATTTGTGCGGCATGTTGTCGAGTCCAACTAGGAGACGCCGCTTATCAGCTGGAAATGGCGCACCGTGCAATGTTCAATTCACCAGCGTTGTGCCGGAACAGGGTCTGCGGCGCTGGGATGCTCATGAAATCTAAGGTTGTTTGTGACCGGCGTCACGCTTTGTGTTCATGCGGATAGGAGCTCCGACTGCGACAGTTCGATCGTAGTTACCAGCTTCAGCAATGACGGCTACTATCCACATTCGCTGTTACGGCTACTATCCACATTGGCTGCCTGCAAGTCTTACGCTCCATCCATCGCGTAACGGTCGGAGCATTGTATCTGGCGCTGTTTTTGTTCCGCGTCATAATTCGCCCTTTCACCCGGAAACCAAACAGCTTCCCCACTTTCCGAATTCTAAGTAGGTACCAACACAGCAGGCCTAGCCAGGCGAGCGTCAATTCCTGGCGCGTCACCCCACGTGACCCCCGGCCTCGTGCAGGAGACCACGCCCCCGATGAAAGCCTTTCCTGCGAGGCGTCTACAATTACGAGCGTCTTCCCTGGCACGAGTCACAAATCATGCGTCGGATCTTGTGACACGAAGGCACCCCGATCTCGGTGCTGAGCGGCGCGGCTCACTTGACCTGGAGCCCCCGGCCGACCGTCTGGCCCCAGGGGCCCACTGAGCTGGAGCCCCCCGGCCGACCGTCTAGCCCCAGGAACACCACGCTGTTGTCAAGCGGGGGCGAGAAAGGTGGAGCGCTAGAGAGCTTTTACCGACATCTGCATATCACAAGGTTGGTATGCAGTCACTGATTGAACATTCCAAGAGGGAAGACGATGTCGCGCCCGAGTTTGGAACTCCGCCGGGTGTGCTCCCGGTCGTGATACTGCCCGGGTTTGGAACTCCCCAGGGCGTGCTCCTGGTTGTGATACTGCCCGGGTTTGAAACTCCCCCGGGTGTGCTCCCGGTTGTGATGCTGCCCGCCGCTCACGCGCCCGGATTTGGAACTCCCCCGGGTGTGCTCCCGGTCGTGATACTGCCCGGGTTTGGAACTCCCCAGGGCGTGCTCCTGGTTGTGATACTGCCGGGTTTGGAACTCTCCCGCGCGTGCTCCCGGTTGTGATACTGCCCGGGTTTGGAACTCCCCAGGGCGTGCTCCTGGTTGTGATACTGCCCGGGTTTGAAACTCCCCCGGGTGTGCTCCCGGTTGTGATACTGCCCGCCGCTCACGCGCCCGGGTTTGGAACTCACCCGGGTGTGCTCCCGGTCGTGATACTGCCCGGGTTTGGAACTCCCCAGGGCGTGCTCCTGGTTGTGATACTGCCCGGGTTTGGAACTCTCCCGCGCGTGCTCCCGGTTGTGATACTGCCCGGGTTTGGAACTCCCCCCGGGCGTGCTCCCGGTTGTGATACTGCCCGGGTTTGAAACTCCCCGGGTGTGCTCCCGGTTGTGATACTGCCCGCCGCTCACGCGCCCGGGTTTGGAACTCCCCCGGGCGTACTCCCGGTTGTGATACTGCCCGGGTTTGGAACTTCCCCGGACGTGCTCCCGGTTCTGATACTGCCCGGGTTTGGAACTCCCCCGGGCGTGCTCCCGGTTGTGATACTGCCCGTCGCTCACAGTGCAACTCTGCGCAGCTGTCCGTCTTTCCCTGGCGCTGATACACGCACTGTATGCCCTAAAGACGGAAGTCAGTTCCCTATGCTGCGGTTATTGGAGATATGACTGTTTTTGCCATTCGGCTACGACGAGGCGGTTACTTTTGACTGACTGACTGTTCAGGTGGGACATGACCGCAGAAGCTGTTGCCAGCTGCTCGCGCGTCGGTGCCGGTCGAGGAGATAACCGCCCTTCAGCGCCTGCAGTCGCACGCGATCCGCGATCTTAACACACCCGACCGAGCCTCAACTGCAGGCGTTGCAATGGGACGCGAGCCGGGCACTATCTTTTGCAGACCGAACTCGATCTGATCGAGCTGGAACGTGGCTTGCGAATGCATCTGGCTTCGATTTCACTCCGTCGTGCCAAAGCCGTTGGCACGGGGAGCTGCAGCTTCCGGCGGACGGGCTGTTGGCCTGAACGTGTGTCGTGCAGCTGTTCTCGGTGACGCGGCGCTGACACGGCGGCTGCGGCGCAGCAGCTGCCGCTCCCGCCTGGTACTCCCGCTCCCGTTCCCGCCCGGCGTTTCCGCTCCCGCTCCCGCTCCCGTCCGGTACTCCCGCCTTCGCTCCCGCTTCCGCTCCCGCTCTCGCCCGGTGCTCCCGATCCCCTGCCCCTGCCGCTGCCGCTGCCGCTGCCGCCCGGTGCTCCCGCTCTCGCTCCTGCTCCCGCCCGGCGCCCCCGCTCCCGCTGCCGCCCGGCGCTCCCGCTTCCGCTCCCGCCCGGTACTGCTGCCTTCGCTCCCGCTCCCGCTCTCGCCCGGCGCTCCCGATCCCCTGCCGCTGCCGCTGTTGCTGCCGCCCGGTGCTGCCGCTCTCGCTCCCGCTGCCGCCCGGCGCTCTCGCTCTCGCTCCCGCTCCCCTGCCCGCCTGGCGCCACCAGTTCATCAGCGATTCACCATCCGCCGGTCTGTCACCATTGTCACCTCTCGCGGCGCGGGCGAGGTTTTCGCACACAAAGCGCCACCTTCACGCGTCGCGCGAGGAGTCGAGTGTGCCCGGCGGGCCAGCCGAGAGCCGGCAGACGGGGCCTGGCCGAGCGCCGGGTGAAGGTCGTAGCTGACGGAGCGCCGTGAAGCCGCCAGAGGCGCCTCCCGTGCCGCTGCTGCCACCCAGCCAATCTGTTCCACCGTCGTGCGTGCGTGCGTATGTGCGTGCGTCTGCGTTTAAAGTGGTTTTTGCGTGCGCATGTGCGTGCGTATGTGCGTATTCTTGTGTGAGTGCCTTGCTGCTGGCATGTGTGCGTACTTGTGTGTGTGCATACGCGCGCAAGCACTCCTCACCCTTTACGCCTGTAACGCCCTGTTGTGTGCGTTGCAGCCGGACGACTGGGATTCGCGCCAGATCGCCACCTTCTCGACGTTCCACGGCCGCTCGGACTCGCATCTGAGCGGGCTGGCGGCGCAGCGGAGCCGGCACGCCCACTCGCGCTCGCTGGTCATCGAGCCGCCGCCGGCGCCGCCGCGCCACGCCCACTCGCGCAGCCTCGTCGTCGACACGCCCATCCGCATAGTGCACAGCCACTCGCACTCGCTGGTGGAGATCTCGCCCGGGGAGCCGGCGTCGCACGGCCCTAGCGGGCTGGGGCCGGGCGGGCTGGGGCCGAGCGAGAGCGCCGACCCGCCGCGGCCGGCCGAGCGCGGCCCGCGCCCGCTCTCCCGCTCATCGCCGCGCCTCAGCGGCAAGGACGCGCCGCTGCGGCCGCTGTCGCGCGCGTCGGCCGCTGCTGGCGACGGGCCCGCGCCGAGGCCGGGCTCGCGCACGTCGGCGACGTCGGGGACCCACAACGAGGCGGCGGCCAGCGGGGCAGCCACGCCGCCGACACGGCCGCTGTCGCGCTCCTCGGCTGCGGCCAGCGATGGATCGACGCCCAGTGGTGGGGACACGCCTCCGATGCGGTCCCTGTCGAGCTCCTCGGCCACGCCCAGCAGCGAGGGGGCCGCGCCCAGGGACGGAGACACGCCGCCGATGCGTCCCCTGTCGAGGTCTTCGGCCACGCCCAGCAGCGAGGGGGCCGCGCCCAGGGACAGAGACACGCCGCCGATGCGTCCCCTGTCGAGATCTTCGGCCACGGCCAGCAGCGAGGGAGCCACGTCCAGGGGAGGAAGCACGCCGCCACAGCATGCAGAGGCCGACTCGCCAGCGGCTCTGGTCCGCTCCTCGCGCCCGGCCAGCGAGGGCGACAGTGCGTCCCTGCGCACCTTGTCGGAGTCGTCGGGGTCGTCAGCCGGTGCGTCGCTTCCGACGGAGCGCGACGACGAGCAGAAATATGTGAGTACCTGCAAGCTTTCCTCGTGCGCTGGTATTCCTGGAGTCTGAATGCAAGTTGTGTTGTTGCACGAGGCGTTAGTTGTGATCTTCCGGTTTCGGGGCTACGCGATAGCGACTAAACAATTTTTGTTGTGAAGTTCCAACTCATGCATCCTAAATCTGTGAAATTTACGTGGTCACGGTCATCTTTCAACCACGGCTTAAGAAATATTGCAGCTTATCTCAGATGTTTTGAAATCGGTGCGATATGGCTCATACAGCGGCCGGATTCCCAGGACGGTTATGGTATGGGAGCGTCGTGTTCTGCCCATGATCATTTTCGTGGGTGTGATCGTCTTCGAACAAAAGCCGAGTTGTTGGCCTCGGCTGATCGTGCTCAGAATCGCTGATGCTAAAAATGCGCACCGGATGCGCCGTACGTCCTGAGGCCCAGGGAGGCTTACCTAGGGATGACGCATGCTGACGCCAGCAGCTCACCACCGTACGTCCTGAGGCCGAGGGAAGCTTACCTAGCGATGACGCATGCTGACGCCAGCAGCTCACCACCGTACGTCCTGAGGCCAAGGGAGGCTTACCTAGGGATGACGCATGCTGACGCCAGCAGCTCACCCCCGTGCGTCCTGAGGCCGAGGGAGGCTTACCTAGGGATGACGCATGCTGACGCCAGCAGCTCACCACCGTACGTCCTGAGGCCGAGGGAGGCTTACCTAGGGATGACGCATGCTGACGCCAGCAGCTCACCACCGTACGTCCTGAGGCCGAGGGAGGCTGAGCTGGGGGTGACGCATGCTGACGCCAGCAGCTCACCACCGTACGTCCTGAGGCCGAGGGAGGCTTACCTAGGGATGACGCATGCTGACGCCAGCAGCTCACCACCGTACGTCCTGAGGCCGAGGGAGGCTGAGCTAGCGATGACGCATGCTGACGCCAGCAGCTCACCACCGTACGTCCTGAGGCCGAGGGAGGCTGAGCTAGCGATGACGCATGCTGACGCCAGCAGCTCACCACCGTACGTCCTGAGGCCGAGGGAGGCTGAGCTAGCGATGACGCATGCTGACGCCAGCAGCTCACCACCGTACGTCCTGAGGCCGAGGGAGGCTGAGCTAGCGATGACGCATGCTGACGCCAGCAGCTCACCCCCGTGCGTCCTGAGGCCGAGGGAGGCTTACCTAGGGATAACGCATGCTGACGCCAGCAGCTCACCACCGTACGTCCTGAGGCCGAGGGAGGCTTACCTAGGGATGATGCATGCTGACGCCAGCAGCTCACCCCCGTACGTCCTGAGGCCGAGGGAGGCTTGCCTAGGGATGACGCATGCTGACGCCAGCAGCTCACCACCGTACGTCCTGAGGCCGAGGGAAGCTTACCTAGCGATGACGCATGCTGACGCCAGCAGCTCACCACCGTACGTCCTGAGGCCAAGGGAGGCTTACCTAGGGATGACGCATGCTGACGCCAGCAGCTCACCCCCGTACGGCACCCGTGCTGCGTTGGTGGGAACCTGAGCGGGACTCAGCATTATCAACCATACGTGATTGTCAGTCAATAATGATAGGTGTCGTTGAGAATGTACCAAATTTAGTGTGCTCGCATGGTTCGCCAACATGAATTCGCAGCAGCCAGAGCGCTTATGGACAGGATGGATGGGATGAAATTACTTGTGAGAAGAAGCTGCACACATATTGGCTGCAATATCGCGTGATCACCATGACAACCTCTGGCTTTTAACCGCTGGTGAATGGCGATGAACGTACGATTGTGGACGCAATGCACAACACGATGATTTAGAACACATCAGAATGCAATTTTTTAGCACAAAGTTCGAAACAAATGTGTGCTGATCTAGCGCGAAGCAGAAATGCAGTTCCGCGTGCTATAGCGGAGCTGTCAATTATTTTTTCAGTTGGTATATTGCAAGTTTTGCTTAAGTGCGTGCGAGTATTTTGGACCATCGTATGAAATCAACTCAAATGTATTTTTAATTTTTGATGATTATATGACTGCTAAACCTTTGCCGGCCGCGCTCCTTACGTCTCATGTCATAATATTTGGACGGCGAACTCCTTGCCGATTTCATGTTTGGCGCGCCAGAGGACTCCCCGCCTCATCTTGCAGCAGCTTGTACAGTAGACATGCTCTATCAGGTTAAACAATGTCACACTCATCTGTTTTTTCCTGCCTCTGCTGACCGTCGCTGGCGGAAAGCGTTACTGTTTGCTTGTCGCAAGTGGGGCGGCAAACAGGTGCGGTCGCCGCGATTTCTGTGGATGTGGGCGGGGAAAGGTCGCACAAGCTCATCCAATCGCTGGCAGAGGATTCGGGTGAAGCACGGCTGGTTATCATCAGTATATCCACGCCTAACGGAAGCGCCTGTAAGGCCCGCCCGTCCCAACGTATGGACAGACGACCTTTTTAAAGCGTTGTTGGGACGACATTGGCGTGTTGCGCCGCCCAGCAGCCGACGACATGTTCGATACGAAGGCATGTACAAGTTCTTAAAGAATTACGACGTTTATCTCAAAGAAGCAAGGGATAAACGTCACGGTAGAAGCTTTGGGCTTAGCAGCTGACTACCGGTGCTTTACAAAATCCTGCCAAGAGCCAGGTAAGCCTCATAACCATTATCTTGTAAACTTACTGATTCCTCTCGCAAGTTCTTAAGTGCCTTGGCGAGGAACACTGTCCGTACAGATGAGACAGTGTTAATAGCCTTATTCCTCGTGAAGAAACAGGAGAATGTATATATATATATATATATATATATATATATATATATATATATATATATACTATATTTCGGCTCCATGCCTTTATGGAAACGGGTACCGCATCTATCTCTCCATTATGCTGTTTATTCCACGAGGAATAAAGCTATTAACAATGTCTTAACCGATTCGTCCCGATCAATCCAGGTCGATAATGGCGTTATTACCGGTACATGGGCGCAAACGGAACACAAATTTTGGACTTGCCAGAAAACACGGAAGCAAATAACATTCGTGTCTTGCTGGTGCAGCGTGGTAATTGTAAGCCACACCATTGCATGTTGTGCGACTTCCTTCGACCAGCAGTGCGCAAAGCCGGTTTCGCCCCCACTTTCTCAAAGTCGCTCCAGATCTTCTTACACGCCAACAATCGTCATACAGGACTGCTACCACTAAATAGCTGCTTGTCTGGTAGCGACAACATCAGCTAACGATTGACTGGGATATCCATTTAGCTGCCTGGCATAGACTATTATTATGTATTATTATACATTGAACCATTGGGGATACGGCCCTCAGAGGCCAGTCCAGTCGTGGAATAACGTCGGCCGCAATTGAGCTCAAGCTGTCACTTGACGCCGACCATTGGCTGTAATCCTGGACGGTTCTGCGTAATCCCCAGTACGCTCACCGGGCACTATAGCTCAGGTGAGCGGCGGCAGCGGCGGGGAACTGAATAAGGAGAAGGCCGTTTTTGTTGGATTGATGAAGATCTGAATTTGTCAAAAGACTGCGTCAAGAACGTGGGCTGCTTTGGACTAAGTTGCCAATTGCAGTACAAAAAAAACAAAGTACAACCGATGCGAAGACGATGCTTGCATTGAACTGCCAGGAACAAAAATCTATCATTTCAATGTCATGAGCGTCCGTTGGCTATGAACGTAACACTATCCAAGTCGCGATGAGTTTGATTGTTCTTCGTACTGCCTAATCCAGCCAGTCCAATCGTTGCGGGAACGCTTATGGCCAGTCCGGACCCGAATATATTGCAGTGCTCAATACATGCGAACATCACCAAAGCACTGCACCAGTGCTGAACACATGCGAACATCACCAAAGCACTGCACCAGTGCTCAATACATGCGAACATCACCAAAGCACTGCACCAGTGCTCAATACATGCGAACATCACCAAAACACTGCACCAGTGCTCAACACATGCGAACATCACCAAAGCACTGCACCAGTGCTCAATACATGCGAACATCACCAAAGCACTGCACCAGTGCTGAACACATGCGAACATCACCAAAGCACTGCACCAGTGCTCAATACATGCGAACATCACCAAAGCACTGCACCAGTGCTCAATACATGCGAACATCACCAAAGCACTGCACCAGTGCTCAATACATGCGAACATCACCAAAGCACTGCACCAGTGCTCAATACATGTGAACATCACCAAAGCACTGCACCAGTGCTCAATACATGCGAACATCACCAAAGCACTGCACCAGTGCTCAATACATGCGAACATCACCAAAGCACTGCACCAGTGCTCAACACATGCGAACATCACCAAAGCACTGCACCAGTGCTCAGTACATGCGAACATCACCAAAGCACTGCACCAGTGCTCAATACATGCGAACATCACCAAAGCACTGCACCAGTGCTCAACACATGCGAACATCACCAAAGCACTGCACCAGTGCTCAATACATGCGAACATCACCAAAGCACTGCACCAGTGCTCAATACATGCGAACATCACCAAAGCACTGCACCAGTGCTCAATACATGCGAGCATCACCAAAGCACTGCACCAGTGCTCAACACATGCAAACATCACCAAAGCACTGCACCAGTGCTCAACACATGCGAACATCACCAAAGCACTGCACCAGTGCTCAATACATGCGAACATCACCAAAGCACTGCACCAGTGCTCAATACATGCGAGCACCGCCAAAGCACTGCACCAGTTCTCAATACATGCGAACATCACCAAAGCACTGCACCAGTGCTCAATACATGCGAACATCACCAAAGCACTGCACCAGTGCTCAACACATGCGAACATCGCCAAAGCACTGCACCAGTGCTCAACACATGCGAACATCACCAAAGCACTGCACCAGTGCTCAACACATGCGAACATCGCCAAAGCACTGCACCAGTGCTCAACACATGCGGACATCGCCAAAGCACTGCACCAGTGCTCAACACATGCGAACATCGCCAAAGCACTACACCCAAACCTGCTAATGTTAGACGGTGATCTAGTGGCCA